ATTCGGATGCCTCATTTAGGCAAACATTACGGTCTAGATACGATGCACATCTTTCCTACACCACCTTTCAGTGAGCCCTCATTTTTAAAATTATCTTTCGAAGGATGTCTGTTTTCAGATGATGAAGAACTTGCCCCAACGAAAAAAGGTCTGCGATGTTCTTTGACTGGGGGCTCGGGAGCCGGTCGAACCGATGAGAGGCACGATGGGGCGCCTTGCGCATCTTCGCCACCTTCTCTCAATCTGTACACATAAACCGCATTTACCATTTTTTATCTCACCATCGACTGCTGCCTTTCATCCTCATCCGCGCCCTCTCTCTCAGGAGCACAAATGTGTGCCTCTTGGTTTGAGCCAGCTTCACTACTACCCCATCGACACAAGTAATTGCTCTAAAAGGCTACACTGTTGTCTGTTGGCTCTTTTCAACCCAAAAATCACTAGCATAAAGAACACAAATCTTGAAAAAAAGCAGAAATTTTCGGTTTAACTTATCATTGGCAGTGTAGTATTTTGTCAACATTTTTAGCATTTATTGTTATTACTTGAAAAATGCTCGATTTTAAGTCCGCAGCCATGCAATAGAAGCAAATATGGAACAGACTATATGCAATATCGGAAAGAAGGAATCTTTAGCAGTGCAGTGTGTTATTGTCATGAGTGGTGCCACATTTGGACTGAGGTTTGGTAATCTTTACAAAAAGCTGAGCACAATGTAAAATAAGCAGGTAAAAGTTGTATTCGTGACTCCTATTCACGCCATGAAGGCTTTCGTACACATTATGGTGATATTCACAGTAATAAATGAAGGTGGAAGACGAAATAGCAGTTAAACTTCACCCAGATCAGCATATGCAGTAATCAGTCGTTGAAAGTGATGGCGCAGTAATTTTGTGGTGGTGAGGGTGTAGCAATATTACACTCCTCCTTCCGCAGTCTTATAGCCTTTTTTCGATGAATTTTCCTCTTCTGGGAAATTAGCTTTAGAAATCTACATTCCACGCGATTTGCCCCGTCTGCTGGTAGTGCGTTCTACAGGAAAGAAAAGTATCTACACGTCTTGTAGTAGAGATAATAACCTTTGGTTGCAACGTCATTCAGCCATTCTTAAAGATTTTTTTGCTTAGTAACTTCCAATTCACATAAAAAGTAATCCAAGTTTAATTCATATTAACCAAAAGTTTGAATTTTTACTCACAAGCATCGCTTTGCTAGATGCAGGGCTGCATTTTACGTCAAGTGTGATTTGACCAGAGGGTCGTCTCTCTGGAATCAGGTAGAAGGAAAGGCAAGGTGAAGTGCTGCCATCGAGATGAGATCTATTCTCAGATCTGCCAATACAGGATTTATCGTTAACTACTTCAACTTCTGTGATGTTGTGTGGAATCACCTCAATCTGCTGCATCAGACGCGCTCCCCTTTTAACTTGAGGTAGACGCGGTTTATGAATATTTGGACCAAAGCACTCATTAAAAAATGGTCTTCCAGAAATATGACCAGCAAGTGACTTTAAAGTGTAATTATTAAACTTTGATACTGAAGCATTCAGTCGGATTTCTCCACCGTTTTGGCCGACCTCGCTTCTCGATGGAACTGTTTTAAGGCGGGCTAGGAGCACTTTTGAGTTTGGTAGAGGAGGGTCCTCATGTAGATCTCTGCAAAAATGGCAAAATAGGGTACATACGAGTAAGTCACCGCCTATAAATATGTTTTCAAAGGCCTTAACTTCTTAAGAAAATCAAGATTATTAGGTTTAACTACTTGTTTTTGACCTGGCAACACAGTTAGGGGTGAAGTAAATGACCTCTTGCGATTCCCTTAATAGTCACCGGGCGATCTCTTCCCTCCGCACCTCCCTGTGTCTTTTTTTTTTCAAAATCTAAAAAATTTTCCCCAAACCTAATCTGGATCTGTTCTAATAAGCGAAACATTTTGTGAATTTTGAAAGCAATGTTGAAAATGGGCGATAAACACTCCAGAGGTGCGTATTGCATGGGCAGGATTTTTCAGTTATGCTTACTATGTCTGTAGAAATTTTAATAACTCCTTACATACGCATTACATACCTACTCAATGGATCAAGGAGAGGAATGGTCTCTTCTTCATTGGTGAGTGAACGTGGTGAAAGCCTTAAAGACCGAACCGTTTTTTGCATAGAGCCGAGAACTTCGAGAGTATGGAGTGAAAATGACTCTAGTCTTTTAATAGCTTCCTCCTTTAGTCCCTTGATAGGTTTGTTTCCTAAATTCCAGAACTTTGATTCAATGTTCGAGATGGTATCATTTAGGGTTGGTTTGGTGCGGACCAATATATTCTGACTAGACACTGCTGCTTCGGACATCGCCACACTAAATGCATTTGGGAGAACCCGCAATACTCTTGGATACCTAACAGTGACGTAAAATTTGTGCATTAAATAGAACAGATAGAAACGCTACTTTAAAACCCAATAAAAGAGCCAAATGTTTCAAGGTTTGAATTTGTGCTTACCAAGTTGGCAAGTTGTAGAGTTACTTCTGTTTTTGCTATTAATATGCTTTTATCGTCATAGATTACGCCACTATATTGCATACGATATGATCATAGGTGTCACTGAATTAAACATGGGATTAAGATAATTATAATTATGAAATTAGAGCATACCCATTCATCGGTTAAGGCACGAAATAGTTTTGAAAACATGCATTTTTCTATACTAATTACGACTTACATTCACCTCAACCTTTACATACTTGCGTAACCTCAAAAAAGCAATAATGTTTTTATAACTTAAATAAGTTTGATATATTCTTGCCTATGCCTTAAGAATGGGATCTTTTTCCATTTGCAAAGATATAGCCGATGGTGGAGACAGATTTGCATTGGCACTTGAAGAGATTTTGATTCGTTTTCCTCAGGTCTATGAGAACTACACTTAAAGCTCTCTGTTTCCCGTAATTGCATGTGAACACAGTTAGTGGGCGATTCTTTGGCCACTGACGGACAATCTACTAAAAGGCACCTCCAGTTTGCGATACTTTCATCGTTCGCTTTGGCTGCATAAAAGTCTTCACGATTACATCTAGTTCTCCTGTGTATGCATTGCAATTCGTAAGCACCAAAACTTGTTGGAGTAAATTCGGCTGATACTAAGGCTAGAGGTGCCTGATATGAGCACATTTTAATTTCTGCTGCTTGTAAGGCCACCTTCGTTGAAAAGTGAACGTTAAAACCACACTCCAACTCACTGAATATTGGCATAGAGTGTCTGACAATTGATGGAAGTTCATCACAAGTTTGTGGTTTGGCCAATGTTTTTAAAAAAGTGGATGAATTATACCGGCCATCTGTGAGATAGCCAACCGAATACCACTCTGGATGATATAAAACATTTGCAGTAATGTCGCTTTCGGCTGCACTTTCTGTACTTAGCGTAAAACTCTCAACTTGGAAAAGCGTCGACCGCCAATCACAATGAACGATGTTTGTTGACTCTGGAGTGGTGATATCTGAAATTTCGCCGTTTTCTTTGACAAAACCATCGGGTTTCAGTGATGTGGACATGTAAGGTGGGCTGAATTTTGGCACTGCGACCGCCTGTTTCAATCCCGAAGGTATGCTACGTACGTGTTCAGTCATTAGTTAAGGTCCAAAGCCGATCAAAACGTCTGTTCTAGAACTGGATTAAGCAAATAATCAAATTATGTTTGCAAAGGCAGTCTAAAATAAATGATGTAAATGGGATGCAGACTGATGATCAAAGTTGGGTAGTCTATACCAAGTGCGACCACTAAACATGTCATCATTATCAGTCCGCCACTGTAAAGATCTAGCGCATTCAGTGGATACGGCATAACACCTAGTCAAGACATACCAAGTAAATTTTTAAAAAATTACTCAACTACGTCAATCATATAGTTTCTGCATGCATTACAATTTAGAGCAGGCGCGTAAATGACAACAACCACGAAAACGCATAAACGAGAAACAGTAAAAATCGACTATGTTAGCAGTTGCAGTCAGATAATGTCTGCTCGTTGTAGCTACCTTAGCAGATATGTTTGCTTTACGTATCTTGAACACAGAGTGTACATTCCTTATCCGTAGTTGATAAAAGAGCAAAAGATAAACTCAAACGCCTAAAACATACGAGGTCATAAAATCCTCCTTTAAAGTAACCAGCGAAAATATCACGGTTATTCTCGCAAAGTGTTTGTCAACTTAAAACATTTGCAGACTACCAGTTATAAGTGAATTTGGGAACGATAACGCATTACCTTAGGGTTTGAAAAGTTGCCAAATCTAACCAACTACATTGCCCCTTTCGTGGTTAAGGTTGTTTTTTGTTTTTTGTCCGCCTTTTTTCTTCAAAGACAAAAAATTGAATGATGATAATAATTGTTATCGAACGTAAATATTAAAAGTAAGCACAGACATCCTACTTCCGAGCTGATTAGTTGCAATTATAGCAAAAGAATCAAATTGGCATAACTTCATAGGGCATTGTCTTAAGGCCATAAATTCGTGTGGTATCTGCTGTAACTTACTTGCACGTCATTAAGGTCAAAACCAAGCTATAATATTGGGCCTGTTTATGCGGTAAACGGTCGTTGCTTATTTTATCTTTTAATTGACCCTCCAGACCCGCTCGTGAACAATTTTTTTGAGTGGCTAATCCTCCTATGCTTCGCCTCTTGTGTTTAGAGAGGCGCACAGAGGCTGTCTTGTCCTTTACTTGCGTTCATTAAATAAATCATTTTCTAACCCATTTCGGTGTGCACGTAACTTATATCTTTAGCACGTTGAAATTGCATTTTCATAGGATGGTACATTTTTACTGGTTGTCTTGCTTAGTTCCGGCGGCTAATGCCATCATAATTAAGCAAGATTTGTGCACACATCCTCTGTTTCCCCCCTCTATATGCGCAGCGTTCTGCGCATCCTTCTGTTGAAGGAAGTCTTGTCCACCATTTTCAGTCGGTGCCCGTACTTCACTTTGATATATTTTCAAACAGTTTTAGATGTGCATCTTAGTGTCGTCCACCCCAGAACGCTCTCTTAAATCTCGGAAGGGATACACGATCATAATCTCGTGTGCCGGAGTTGGGAATGTTGGCCAACTTTGCATGGACGTTCTCATATCGTCAATTGAGTCTATTTTTGCCGGCTATCTCAATTCTGACTATGTTCCACCTATTGTTGGACCGCCACCTTACCCCGAATTAACATCTACCGCTCCCCTGGCGTGCTCTTTAGAGGTGCATTTTTAGACCTACATGAGGCCATAATAATCGTCGAAATTCAAGCATTCTTCCCCATGCTTATTTGCCTCACTCCATACCTTTTAGCTATACGATGACGATTTTCGTAAGCTGTCTCTGCTACAAGTTCGGGCACCTGTTTTCCCTGGTGTTCACAGTCGCTTTGCCACAGAAATAGTGGATTTTATCATGCGTCAAAAATTTGCACGTGTGATCCTTCTCTCGAGCAGTTTCGCCATGACCAGAAAGGTGGATCCATCAAACTTTAAGTACTTGTCATAGTTATGTCTCAAGAATCTCGCTGCATTTTCGTGCATTTTTTGCTATTCCATGGACGCGTCTTGTGTTTTTTGCATTTCTTGCATAACTTGCAAGTAACCAGGCGCTTATGCCTTGATGTATGCTTTTTGCGTTGTCTTATTTGTTTCTAGGATCAACAGCTTCGTGGGTCGCCTCTTCAATACTCTGTATCGTTAGCCACCAAAGTAGAAGATATTGAAGCTCTTTCACGTATTGGATTGATGAGGTTGGTCAAGGAGGAGGTCTCGGATGGTGGAATGAAGAATGGTGTTAGTCACTTGGCTTTCAATCTTCCCGGCTCGGGGACAGCTTTGTCCTTATTTTCAGAGTTAGAAAAAATGGAGACCGTATCGACAATTCTTCTGAACACGTTCACCTGCGACGGTGACAATCGCAATGACGCGTTCTTTATGGCTCATGCGCTCAATGGCTGGTTGAAAGTGAATCCTGCTGATGGCGCTGTCTCCTGGAGGACACCCAAATGTTGGAAAATGCTGTACGGCAGCGGCTTTGATCCTGCATTATATTAGCTTCCTGTATTATTTATTCCCTGTTTTGTTCCTTATCGGCCGTTCCACCATGTCAGAATTCTTTATGGCCCCATGTCGTGATGCTTCACGCTTGATCCTCCCGCGCGGTTTATAGTGTTTAAGCAGTCGATACTCTGAATACTAAGCACGATGCTTGCAGCGCCAACAGAAATAATTCCCCGTGATAGCATTTGAAATTAGCTTCCTTTAAGACGTCACTCCGACCCTAAACATTTAAAGGAATCAATACCTATCAATGGGGACGATGCACATTTTTACCGCCATACGCGGTGCATCTTGTGTGAGCCTCTATCATCTCGACGATTCGTGTTCCTCATCTACCGCCCACAGTTCATGTCCTGAAAGTCGACAGGTAAAAGTTCAGATTAACACACTTTCTGCTGTCAGATCTCGGGTAACGCCCGGAGTCTGATCTAATATTTGTTTATCTTTCCGATACCCAGTTTTAAAAGTTGTAAAACCATTTTGTGGTTCATGTAATCGTGGAGTGGTTCCGTAGCATATTAAAAATTTGTTCAAGATAATAAGGTATAGATTAATGAATGGGAACTAGGGGCAGTGCAGGGATATGCGGTTCTTCAACGTGGTAGGTGCCGCGCTATGGTATAAACTATAAACACAACAAGAAATGTGAGGATAGTCAGGATCAAGAGCCTTCGGTTGTTGCGCTTGCCGTTCGAGATTCCCACCACCCGACCCACGGTTCTTCCCAGCATACTTCCCGCCGAGTCGGCCGCGTACTGAATGGTCTCAAGGAAATGATTTTGTTCCTTGCTTTCGTCTCGTATTTCCCTTGCATACTGGTAAGAGAAACGGATAAGGCAAGACACTTCATTTAACAGCATCATTGTGGCGCAACTCTGTTTTAAAATTCAGACATTCATGTCGGAATTCCCGCATAACTCAAACATTCCGACTTCCTCAACAACGAGTAAGTATAACAAGAACGAGTATTAAAATTGAAAAGATTCTGGAAAGCCAAGTAGGCTGTCGAGGACTCATGCTGAGAATGCTCAGAGAAGTAGGTGACTGTGTCAAGCAGTTGTGGGGCTATTAGATGAGCACTTACTGATTTTAGCAAGTTGACTTTGACGCTAAGGTCCTCGGCTTTATGGTTGTTTTCGATCTCAAGTATATGGTCGCTGGAATCTATACGGGGTAATACTTAAGAAATACTCACGCATAGCAGTGTTCTGCACACGGACTTTAATCACGTGTCCATGGACGCGGAATACTCGAAGAAAATTAATTCAAGAGAATGGTACTCTACCGAAAAAAGCAAATAGTTAGTAGCATAAAAAGCTTGAAGTGTCTATTCAAAAGGGTAATTTTAGCTTTGTATTTACATAAAAAATTGGCCTGTAGTAAGAGAATAGTCGGATAACAGAATTGATACGTAATTACATCGACAAGAGATTCGCTATGGTGCAACAAGAACACGTAAGACAGGCATAGTCTACAGTCTGACTAGTGATATAGTCATATGCTTGTAGCTTTAAAAGGCAATATCAGGGCTTCATTTATCATAACAACCAGGAAACATGTTCTAGCACACTGCAACTTTCAAATCGGCTAACTCTATGTATTGCCGCTCTTGTGTGCAGGTATAAAGCAAATAACACAGTGTATCACAGACATCAAATTTTCATATACCTTCATTCCTGGCGAGCTGAAACATTTAGGAGGCAAAGTTCATTAAAAATAGTGTGGGTGTGTCCAGTTTAGCGGCAGGAATCAGGGTCGCATGCATCTGCTGGACGGCAATTGCTTAAAGTGTGGCGGTTTTTGTATGACCCCTTGACACTTACTGCCCTCTTCTACCTAATGGGAAGTCTCCGAACACTACAATTTTGACCAAGCGTTGGTACTTTAGCACAAAACAGATGTTTAGTAGTGAGAACGGCTAAAGCACAATTCGGCATATAGAGGGGGGGCCGGTAGTGCCACTAATTTTTTCAGGGCTTGTTTGTTGATCACGAAATCAAGGTAGAAATTGTAATTACTGCCTGTCTACCCTCTGGTCGCTGGTTCTCAGACTTTAAGAGGAAGTTGGTTGTAGACGGTTTATTAGGCATCTCTGTAAGAAGGATGAGAGAATAAAATGCAGATATCAGATCAAATATTCAATGATATCAGTCGCAACCATTTTGTTTTGAAGATCTATAAGAAGTTCTTTCTAGAAGCGTATGAACTTCCTCAGCCCCATAGTTATATGTTGGATGCTGTGACCCGAAGGCCTGCCCATGCCTTCAGAAATAGCGGACATGAAATTGACGTGCAAGTATTTGTTGGTCGTAGAAACAAAATATTATTCTTCCAACCTGGTTCAAGTCGACACTCTGGAATTGACATTATATCTTGCTTCAAGCACAAGTACATTTCGTTGGTACTACACAGCTCTCGCAACACTTCGAAAATCTTTGCGAAATTACTTTTTTTCTGTTTGGTTAAAATAATAATGACGTCCAATAACGATCATATGGATTACTTTCATTGCCTTATACCTGGAGGACTAATTATGCCCATTAGGTGACGACATTAAGATCAAGATGTGATTGGCTTGCTATCCGAAAACGCATTAGCCTTTTATTTGCATATTTCTGGTGAGTCCGTTATTTGAATTGCTGCGCTTTACTTGGGGGATGCAGGGGTGTAATGTCCCTGAAGGTATGCCTAGTCGCCATTTATTTACCTTCTTTCAAAGGGAGTAGTGTCTCAGTGGGATCTGTTGTAAATGCCAATGCCTGGTTTGAATTGCCTCCAAAATGCAAGACTGTTTCGGATTATAAGCCGAAGATGAATATCACCTTAGGTGGTTCTACGTATACGAAGACAATCGACTTAGAGTCACAAGATTTCTTCAATTTGCCAGAATTTGGTTCTTTTGGCTCTGGAACCAATGGCCCAGATTCTTCTCAAGTCAACGAATCATTACTCCAAAACAATGGCCAGATAATTCAGTCTTCTGTCGGTTACAATGAGCAGAAGACTTTATCAAACGTAGAATCGAATCATTATGCTGAAATTTCAGGCGATTACATTACAAAAACACCGGAGAAATCCAGTTCGGCTTCTCGATCAACATTCTTTTCTAGACTTGCACGTCGTTTAACGATTCGGCGCACCGTTCCCAAATTGAACTCTGTTTCTCCTCCTCACGGTAACGCCAATTCTTTGAAAAGCGTCGTTGAGAGATCTTCGCCTCAAATTCCCACTGGTCGAAAAATTCGGAGATGGCTCAGCAAACATTTGATGCCCCCTCCTAAGAATAGTCTGCATAAAGCGCCTCCAAGTATTCCATTTTCCCCTTCTCTTAGAGTCTGTTCGTTCTCATCTGTGACTATGTGAATTTAGGTCATTTTTCCACACGTGCGGCCACTCTTGATGGTGCAGTTGATAAGTGTGTATCGCAACCTGCTGATGACTTTGGCTCTGCGCCTACTCGACGGCGGGCTCTGCCCCTGATGAACCTCTCAGGATCTAGTCTGTGCAACTCTCAGACTGGAACAGTCAGTTTGGCAGACGAACCATTGGAAGCAGGTATGAAGAGTACTAAGCAGGTGAGTTGAAGTGTTTGATGTTAAAATATTCGGAATTTAAATGTATATGTATTCATTAAACTTGCTTTCTAGAAAGCTTTTTCGTATGGATCGAGAAGATTGAACAGTATAGGCGCCGGTGAGTGTTCGGAAGATGTTATTCTCCTCTGGGCTGTAGTCCATGATTGGTATACTTGTTATATTTTGCAGACCACTTGGAGGACTTTTAATTTCCCTAGGTTTTTAAGGTTTTTTGGCTAATTTCTTAATAAGCAGAGTTTTCAATTTGTGTCGAGTGTTTTTCTTTATGTTCGGCTTAGCCGCTTCAGCTTCCGTGAAACGGGACAATCCTGCGGCCCAAATCTCTTCTGCCTTCAGCTCTCCGTCTGTTACAGGCATAGGTAAGTTTTCTCCACCTTATTCCGAGCTAGTTTACTTTAGTGTAAATGCTTTCTTTTTTAGTACTCTCGAAAGTTGGGCATTTTATGTTTTTGTTATTATTAAATGCCTAATCGTTTCCCAATCGTCGCTATTTTTAGTGAATCATGAATGCCAATGAGGAATATAACGGTTCCATTCCTCTGACGTCATGAAAATCACTAGCTTGTCTGTCCTGCTGGTGTTGAATATGTTTCATTGGTTTCCATAACTGCTGCACGTTTTGCTTCCCTTTTGGTCGACCCTTCCCATCCTAATTTAGGGCTGTCGTCGTTTCTCTCATCATTTCTCTCATTGTAAATGAGAACGCTCAGTGTATTGCCGCTATTAAGCTGGTTGGATCTTCAATCCACAAGCATTCACACCAATGGTCCAAGTATTACTAAAGGCTGTCTTTTATTTTCTTTTTAATCTGTTCCTTTCTTGACCTAGCAAACCACTTTGTCCACTCTCTGAGCTAGGGTAAGCATGATTCTGTTTTGATAATCGATCTTGACATTGCACTTAAATGGGTGAATTGACATTAATAGAGTCTCTTATTCTCTACTGGTGCTAAATCTGTCTGTATTGCTTTTATGTGTATTGTGAAATGTCACTGCTCTGTTTTCATAAGAGCTTAACTGGACTTCCCGTCGAATAGCCTGGTGATTCCTGTTAGGTTTGGCACGTAGGTTGGTAAGCCATCTTGGGACGCTTCTTTCCGTGAGTAATAGAGCTCACAGGTTAACGCCCAGGTTAACGTGACTCATTAAATCCATTCTATTTCCATTGTTCTTTTTGTAGCCCGCTTGGGAAGTAGGTATTTGGGTTTCGTAACACGTACTCTGTTAAAACTATCTTGAGGTCGTCTTTGCTGCTTCACTTCCGGTGCATTTTCTTAGTCATTTTTAAATTTGGATTGACTTCTCTTTTTAATTCATCCGACGCTTTCGATGTCTTTTTCTTGGCATTCGGTAATGACAAAACCTGAAGCCAATTATTATTTGTTCTGATGGCTGTACACTCTCTGTCCGGCTAAACTTTCAAAGCGTCGCTTTCGTGGGCGACCGTCAGTCCATTTTGTGTACGAATTGTCCAATGAACATTTGATTTATATTGGAAAATGCTCTTATTAGTCCTTATTTCTATTTTAACATTGAAGTTCGTTTGCACTTTTTTAATCTTCCGTGTTTAATACTCCCGCTTGCACTTTATTTGTCATAGACTACCTATGATCTCTAGCTGAGGTTGTCCCCTATCTAAGAGATTTTATTGCTCTTAATTCACTTCTTGTCTCAATAATCTTTTCGGTGCTCCTTTGAAACAGTTGTTCGATGTGCTTTGGTGTCACCTTAACACCTAGCATTACTTTGCTTCATATTTGTATGTTGTCAGTGGCATATAGCTGAACGTATAGCAGTAGAATGGCAATGTTACGTGGCCTCCGATGTGTCGCCAACTTGCGTTATTCAAACCAGGCGTTGCTTCACCTTATAACGTGACTCACTACCGGTCCAGCCTGTTCTGTGATTTTACGAAATCTGTCTAGCTGTTACCATTATGCATAGTGGTTGCGATCCGACACTACCACCTTTCTGTTCACTTTGCTTATTCCTGAGGCATGGAGCAAAGTGGTTTTGCATAATTTATTGTAGTTCGCCCCTCAGTGGCATAAAAACTATCACCGCTTCACATCTAACAAAGCCTATGTGCTTTGCCGTTCGTATATTCACTGTATGGACTTGGCAATGACATCTACAAATGACTCATTCTCCACATTAATTTCGTTTCCCGCCTTATCAGAAAACGTCACACGGGAGTAGGCACCATTTACGTACCTTTTCCCATTTCTAAAAATGCGTACCGCCTGCGAAATATTTCCACTTCCACCTGATTGCCCTAGGAATGAAGTATCGGCTCTCAGTGGTGGCATCTTTATGCATTCACATAAAATAAGTTGACCCTTTGCTCGTACATCCTTATGAACGCCTCTATGAAATGGATCGTCCTTGAATCGTTCATTAAACTATTAATAAATGTGCCTTTCTGGATACCTCGTCCTTTGCTATTATTTCCCTTTGTCTTTGGAGCCAGTGGCAAATCTGCTCTTTCTAGAAACAGCTTTTATCTCGTTTTAAACCCTGCCTTTATTGAACTGGATTTTCACAACTACTTTTGCATAAATCCTCTTGAAATATTGATCAGCATTAGGTAACTTTGCTCTTCCCTGTTCCTTGTATGATGGTAAAGAGCTCTACCCTTCACTTGGTAATTATGATTTAATTCGCGACGAGGGAATTGTCCATTCTTGTTTTGCAACCTGTGTTTTATGAGTCACTTGCGTGTGTGCATTACATAATGTAAACATCCGTGTGTGTATGCGTACCTTCGTGTGTTCGTCTCCAACTCTACTCCCCATTAATCCCTCTTCTCCAACTTTATTGAAGAGGTGGCAACATCATCAAATTGTAGATAGGGGGATGTAAAATTTTCATCGTGTTGTGAAGTAGGCATTAGTTGCGATTTAGCTTGAAAATTTCTCCAAACAGTCGTCTGCATCACCGCTTTCTAGGTGCCTTCCTTGTTTGCTTTCATCATCCCTGCAAAGTTGATTATTTCGAAGTTTGCATGTTATTGAACCTGTAATATCTGTTTGAAGCATTTTGATATGCACTGAACTTGAAAATTTTAAATTTGACTTTCTTTCACCAAAACACAGTGATTGTGCAGTATTTTTGTGAAATAACTGCGTTCTTGGCGAAATATTAATGATACGCCGAGGTCACCCATGTAAATTACAAGCCTGATGGAGCTTGTATTGGACCCAATAACAAATGAAGCTTGTCAACAAGGCCCGGACCCGGGTGAATCCTCATTTAGGGGAAGCGGATTGTTGAAAGGTCATTTCCACTACCTACGCATGTTTTGCAGATGCTTAAAGCCCCGCCCACTGCTAAGGCCAAGAATGGTTGTCGTGATGGTTTTGGACCTTCTAATAAAGATGGCGCACCACTCAGATTTGTGTGACCCCGAAGGGGGATGAAAATAGGGCACTTTGGTGTATCTTCTTTAAGGCCCACCTCCGCGCTATCTCAACGTATCTTTGGCAGCCTTTGGTTACACTGGGTGCAATCGTAGGTGGGTTTCGGTGCAGACTCTGGAGCGCGGTAAAACGCCCACTGCAGAGCAAGCCTCACCTTCTGCCTTTCCGGAGGCCAATGTAGCACCCCATCATAACGAGTCTACCTCTCCTGCATCATCCCCTCGCACCGTTGCCCGACGACCTTATCGCTTAGATATCCACGATGGTCAAAATTTCGAGGTACTGCCCATTTTTATCATTGCTCTTTTTTCTATGCAACTATCAACAGGGCCTGTTTATATGCGCATGGATTCATGGATTGACGGTGGCTTTGGCTCTATCGAGGAGTTTTTTCATATCACTAGCTCACTTTGCAGGATAGTATTGGATATGTACTGTGGTGAATACTTGGTGAGAAGTTTAAGCTACTGTAGAAAGATGCTTTATTCACTTCTCTCAAAATATCTTGCTCATTTCAGTCATTATTAACGGTGGATATTTTACTAGTTTTTTCTAACATTTCATAGGTTTCCGTCATCAATTCAAGCACTTGGAAAGAACTGTCGCATCAATTGTGGTTTATAAAGAATTCGATGAGCCAAATTTTTCTCTTATAATCACAGTATCTTTAATTTGTTTGAAAACATCGTTTCCTCAATGCCTTTGGCTGTCTTTCATCGGCTTTTTATCAGACTCGCAAGCGTTTAGCGCCACTATTTCCTTCTAGATTCGCAATGCACTTGCTGTTCCTAAATGGGCGTTTTATTGGTCATAAGCCTCGAAACATAATGGGTGTGCAGAACAACCTAGCTGTAGCGTGAATGATTCTATGTGTAAAGTTAGAGTACAAGCTAACTATACAGACTGCTAAACAAACCGGCATCGCTGTTCACAATCGAAGACTCCTTTTTCTTTTTTCCTCCATAGTGTGCCCACTAATCCAAGGGATGCAGTTAGGTTGGAGAGACTAGGTGCCATAAATAATGCGAGCGACTAGAGGTGATTGGTGAAATGCTGGGGGCAAACTTCGCTCCTTCATCCCCGACCGTTTGGTGATATTTGCACGACGTAGTAGTTGGATCGGTATCTCCTAACCAATCGTCTCTTGGGTCATTGCCACGCCAAGGGCAAGGGCAATACGCAGCCCGACCTCACTAGCTCTTCGTTGATCACTGGTAGTTGCGTGATATGTTTTTGTGCCAATTCTCTTCCCGTTTAGGCTTCTCCTGCAGCCCAAGCTCCCGTAGTTACTCCCGCCGCAGTCACTGAGCACGCGAACTCGTCCGGAGTCGCGATCCGTGTGAAACGCGTATGTGCACCTTTCATATACTTTATCACATTCTGCATTACCTTTGCTTCCGCCTTAAATCTTTAGCCTTAATTTTCAACCCTTGGGCAAAACTTATTTCAGCAAGTTATGCGCGAGTGAATCGTTGATGAATCGAATTTGAAGGATGAGTTTATTTTCAAGTTCGTTTAGAATGTTTAGTGCTTCCTGATTTGCATTACTTTATGAATTTGACGTGCAGGTGACCTTTTTTGCAGAGGAGAATTCGCTACCCAAAAATTACTTTTCTGCGTATTCGTTGCTTCTTAGCTAACCCGAATGGTCCTGTTTTTTCCAATTTCCTGCTGCTACACCACGCTAAAAGTTAGTCATTTAACTCTCTACAGTGTTGGCTGCTCGTTTGTTGAATGCGATTTCTTTCTAATTCTTGCCTAAAGTGCCAGTTTTGCGACTTTACCAATCGGTTTCAAAACTGTGAAAATTTTGTGCTAAGCTATTCTCCTATCAGTTCATAACTTCATTTGGGTACCTTTTGCGTGCAAATGGCTTCTGTCGCATCGTCATCACACTTTTTCTCATCTAGATTTTATGTTTATTCTTCACTCAAAATACCTAAATAAATTAGTACTTAGGTGTGTGACACTACTGCTTCATTGAAACTGCCACATGTATTGCAGTGGAGAGCTTCACTTACCCTCTAACGTCCCATCTCCACAGCAATCCAAATATTTAATTGAGTGTCAATGTTCATGTGGTTTTCAAAACTTAATCACCCTAATCCAACATTAGCTGCCTTTAAGGTGTCCACGCCTTTAAACTGCTACCGTGATTTAAGCATTTGTGACTTGTAATAGAATTTACTTCAAGTTGTGCTTTTGTAGTAAGCATGACCCTTATTTTCCTAAGTAAATTCTCTTCTTGACTTCCTCATCGTCCTGAGGTTCATAAATGTGGTTACTCTTTTTTCATATCGTTGAATCTTTGTGCATTCATGTATACCCAATTTGCCTACAGTGCAACCTCTGACCTCAGCACTGATTTCCACACACGATAGTGAAGTAAGAACTGATTGCATCAGTAGGACTGTGTATCCATCTGGAGAGAATTATGATTTACCCACTTGTTGAACACTTCGCGGCTTTGCTCATTTCCATTTCGTTGCATATATGCAAGTAGTCATTTGCTCTGTTTGGTTTTAGTGAAACATGGTTTGTTGCTGTTGTCGCGTAATTTGGGGTGGTCACAGCAATTTTCTCCGTGCCTTACAATGTCTACCTGTTAACCCACCTTTGTTACAGGGCAACGCCTACGCATGCATTATTCAGGCGACGTTGGTGGCATTTCCGATGCCGCGCCACCTCATGATGTATTCACCTATTTGCACTACCACAATTATGTATTTAAATAATTAGGATCTTACGAACCATCGTCCCTCACCACTGTCTTCCTTTGACTTAGCGCTCGCAGCTGCTTTTATCAACTTCTTTGTTCATTACGTATTCATGAATCCGCCCTTCCTCCGTCTACTTCTGTAAAACAAATCACGTTCTTACTTCATTGAAAAATATATTCTCTCTTACTATTGCTTCCATTTGCATGTTTTCACCTCCTCCAGCGTGTTTTAACTAGCGAATTGGAGGCACCAATGGGGCCATGTTCCATCCTTGGGTCGAAGGCTCATTCTCTGTAAGCCTGTGGATAATTTCCAAAAAAAGTGCTGTACTTGTCGCTTCTCTGACCTTGAATAATCAAATCGCTCACGAAGTCAATAAGGTATGTCTTCACCGGTTTTCGCAGCCACCAGTACTGGAAACGTTTTTGACTCATTCATACGTAATTGTCAAACCAACATTTTTCTGTAGATCATTAACTTCTAAAAATAGGGAGCCTATTTCTTATGGCAAATTTGCCTCAAGTTTTTGATTCATGCTACCCTCTTCATGCTCTCATCACCCACCATTGATTCCATTCCTCCAATTGTTTGTTTTTCAGTCGTTGGTTTCCTTCAGATTACTTTTGTTCCTACTATTTTTTGTGTCAGTAGGCGGTCGTTAATGCTTTTTTTCGATGGTCGCATTTCTCCCCTATCTGCATCATTTTTTTCGCCTTTGTTATGGCAAGCGACTTCATCAAAAAAACTAGTGTAGCAAACTTTCCAGGCTTCTAATTTCCGCTCCTTTGTGAAATGCTTCTTGCGCTTAAAATTGTCGGTTTTTCTGCAGACTTCATATTCGAACTCTGTATATAACTTGGAGCGCAGTACATTCATACCATTCTTTTTTACAAGCATGAGTCCCTAAATCGGAACGAATGTTGGTGAATTTTGACCGTCCTCCTTATCAAGGGCACCTGAATTTCTGCTTGCGAAGTGGTATATGTTCAATAAAGACTGCCCCTCAACCCGCGGCATTCCTACATCTGTGTTTTTACTGTTTGCATCGTTTCTTACTACTGGTTATTCCATTTACGCTTACTATTTATTACCCAATCGAAGTATTTGATTTGCTAATTTTGAGGGTTTAATCCTCTATTTTCCATGTACTTACAGAACTGTTCAAACGTTACCTCGGTAACTACGAGTGGTGAGGGTGATCAGTCTCAGGATCTCAACCGCAGTCATCACTCACACCACGAGCATTGGAACCGCTCTTCTCTTATTATGCTTGCTGTTGCTCAGGCCTCGCCAAGAAGTCACAACGCTCCGCCCTCTGTCGCCGGCTCCACCACCAACACATCGGGTCGCCAGTCCATCTCCCACATTGACCCTATTG